ACTTGAACTGAACCAAAACTTTGAGTTCAGGTTTAGTTCAAGTTCATAAATTTAAAGTTCAGTTCAGGTTCAAAGATTTGCAAAATTTAAAGTTCAGTTCAGATTCAATTAAACTTGAACCTGAACCTAAATTGAACTGAACTGAACTTCAGAAAACTAATTTGTTAATACCAAGCTTATCTGTATAATACTAATAGAAATTCCATACTTTTCTTCTCGTCTTTATTCAAATGTTTGCTTCTAGTATAGTAATACAAAAATCTTTCTCAATTTTCTGCTGTTAAACAACTATATTGCTCTAAATACTATGCTATAATCAAAAACTAAAAAAAAGCAAAGTTGTTAAGTTTAAAGCTAAGAAAAAAGCAGTTAAAAAAAGTAACAGTATGAACAAAAGCTCTTGTAAATATATTACCTGTGTAATCTTAAAAGAATTGGTTATATAATAGTATATACTATAACTAGTTCAAATATTAATAATATAATTGAAATATTTACACAATCCAGAAACAAAAAAAATACTATTAAAAAAAGCTATGTAAAAGTTTTTGCAAATAATACTATATTTTTTTAGTCTAATGGCTTAGAATAAATTTGGATATAATAGTCAATTTGAGTAGTTTATATGTATAACATTTTAGTTTACTTCAATATGGCACAGTGATTTAGAGTTAATATAAATAATATTTGAGTTAGTCTAAAAAAAAAATTACAATCCAGATTTTGCTTCTAAATTTACTCAAAAAAATATTTTTTTTATCTATATGAGTTGTGTAAATTTTATATAAATTTATAACTTTTACCCTTATATAGTATTATTAATTTAAAAACTTGGAATATTCTGGCTCTATATCTCCTATAATTATATATAAAAAAGGTTATTGCTAATATACCAATAAAGCAAAAAAGTAGAATCAATGAATATTAATTTAGCAAACATTCTAATTATTATTATACTGTATATACATAATATTAATATTCTATTTGATATATTGTATATCAAAAATACAGAAAAATTTATATATGAATAAAATAAAATTTTTGTATAAGATGATATTTTATAGCAACGAATTCTTGGGCAAAATTGAGAGCAATGTATGTTTAATTTGGGCCAAATTATATAATTAGAAATGTTAAAAGAGTTTGAAAAGTTTAGAAGATATCAAGAAATATGAAATATAAGCAAGTTAATCAAAAGATTGATCTAGAAAATGTGTATTATAGAGATTATTATACATGATAATAATTATTCTTAATACAAAATACTATATTTTATTGTGATATTAAAACAAGAAAAAAAGTATTTTTGCAAAAAATTAACTGTATAGATAATATATTACAAAATTGTATATATGTCATATGTGGTAACAGAATTATGATAGGTTTAGAATCAACTTAAGTCGATTCTGAATACATGTAGGTTGAAATAGAATTTCAAAACGTGCTCAAGTTAATAAAGAATTCCAATTCAACCTAAACCAAAATAAAGAAAATTTTGAATCAATTTATCGAATTAAGTTATTTTAGAATTTAAGTGGTTTTAAGATAAAGTTTATTCAATAGTCAAAAAGGCGGTCATCAAATTAATATGCCACGAAAATTAAATTTATTGCTTTAAAGCCTACATAATGTTTTTACACTTTTGGTTCTTAGGATGGCAACTACTACTACAAGGTATATTCATCTTTTTACATTTACAGTAGTTTTTATCACAGGCATTTTTGCAATTACATTCAATATTACCTATCTGGAACGAAGATTGCTTGATGGATACTTCTCGAATGCTTATAAACATTGAAGGAATATCGTCTAATTCTGAAAATATATCAGGGCCCAAAGGAAGTAATTCATTAACATTATAGGTAACTCTAATAATTTCTGATTTACATCCAATTTGGTACATATCATCTTCCAAGACCTCAAAGATTTTGCAGGGGAGTGTTTTTCGATCACTATGTGTTTTGTCAATCTCAGAAATCTTGATTTGGACGAAATCTCCAATGTTATATTTATTCGTAAATTTTTTATTATGTTTGTCGAGTTGCGATTTCATTTTACTTTGATATTATTCGAGAAACTTTATTGCTACATCTCGATAGATTTTATGTGCTAAATTCTGATTCAGAATATAAAAAATAAAATGGATTGTAAAAATCAAATAAAGTAATTTTTATTAAAAAATTAACTGTTTTTAAATACCTAAATATTAGTATTTGCATTAGTAACAATATTAGCATCTGTATTAGTAACCAAAGTTGAAGACTTATGTCTTTTAATTGGATGAATTTTATCTTCAGACAAACTTCTATCAAATGCTTTATTTTTAGACAGCTCAGACATCTATTTTATAAAAATTTTATTAAAAGTTACTAGTTCGAATAAAGTAACAAACTAAATATTTATATTTATTGTTATATTTTCTTTTTTATTCACTCTCACATCTACTGTTTCATCTGTCATTATTTCACCCACCACTTCATCTATCATCCTGTTCATCTCTTTATTTGTTGTATCGTATATATACTCATCCACTACTTAACATTCTATATTATTTACCATTTCATCTATCAATTCGTTCACCCATTCATCTACCTTTATATTCGCCCTTTTGTCTACCATGTTGTCCACCTCTTTATCTAATTTACTATTTCATTCATTTCTCTATCTCTTGTTTTATTCACTTTCTCAGTAATCTGTTCTAGTAATTGTTGCTCCTAAAACAATTTATTTTAAATTAAAAAAAAAAAAAAAAAAAAAAAAAAAAATTATTTTATAAAAAAAATTGTTAACTCCACATTTAAAACTGCGGCTCCTAAAAGTGACTCTACAATTTCTTGTCAATCGAAATCATCCTGCAGCTCGGAAGTTTCAAACCAATTATTGGATAATTTGTCTTTATTATTAATATGTCGCTCTTTGACCTCTTTTAATAATGAAAAGTGGTGTAAAAGGTTTTGACCGAATACTAATGAATATGGGCTATTTTTAATTTGTCGTGATGTCTGTATATTCATAGCATCTAAATTGAAAATTGTATTTATTAAATTATTAACAGTTTTGGCTACATGTATTTTTATTGACTATACTAAGTACAGTAAATTGTCATACATATAATAGCCTGTAACAAACAGATTTATTCCAATGAAAATAAATTACATACAACAACACAATAGTACAGCATGGGCCTAATCTTTTTTCTGCATATCTTCTATCCACTTAGACACTTTTTGTTGAAAAATATCGTTTGCACGTTCTACAAGCCCTTGGCTCTGTAGATGCCTCGGGCGACTATTAATAATATGAACATCGGGCCATATAGTTAATAATTCATAGATCATCTCCGCAGTAAACTCATGACCATTATTGGTCTGAAGAATAATTGAGGCACCAAAGCAAACAAAAACATCAAAAAGAAATATGGCCACTTCAATTGGCCGCTTGCTAGTTAGGGCTCAAGCCCACGAATACCACATGAAATGATCGCGAATATGGTATATATAATGATAATCACCATTAGAAATGTTGGTTATAGAAATTAAATCAACTTGAACCCTATTGAGAAAGACATTTGAGATTATCAGCTTTGCAGCTACTGGATTTGGAAATTTTCTTCATGTTGCATATGTTGTACAATTCTTTATAAATTCCTTTACAAAGATTGTAGAATATAACAATACTGTTCTGAAACCTATGTACATATATATATATATATAAAATTTAAATGATAAACATATCACAGTAATTATAATATTATAACAATTACATACCACGTCCTAGAGTTTTGATGAGCCAACATGTTTTAGTACCCCTTGATGTAAGTTGCACAATACTTCATATATTTTGTCAATGGAACACACAGATAAGTTTGAATCAGCTTTAATAAGTTGAATTATGAGGTTCATTAGTGT